TTTCCTGCGTAGAAAACAACAGTCATCTAATCCCATCAGTCTCATTTTCTATAATCAATAACATGAAAAGTATCGTATTTCACCGGATATTCATATGAGACAGATAAAATCGTATTTTAATCGTAGATAACGAGCGAGAACGATGGATTAACAGCGATTAATTGATTGTGACAAGAACAGATTTTCGTGTAAATTGTAATGATATGTACGAATAAATATATATCTATTTATTTATATGTATGTGTTCGTAATTTTGATTTCGAACGAAATACAGTAATAATAAAATTGTGTAAATCGTAGTATCAGATATTATTTTCCATATATAGAGTCTTATATTCTCATTAAAAGTAAATATAAAAGAATATTATGCAAAATATTATTTACCGAATCTTACCAATCTAGGAATTATTAAAATATTCCATTAAAATAATCCTGTTCCAAAACTTAATTGATTTATATTTATATCTCTAACAAAATTTTCTCCTCGAAAGCAGAAAGTGAACTATTTAATAATATTATTTTGAATGTATTTACATACATTTAATGCTTTCAAAATTATTTATTTAATTTTATTAATGAACATATTTTAAAATTAAATTATTTTGTTTATACATAGAATCGTTCGTTTCTGAAACACACGATATATGTATTAACTGGTTCACTGTTGGAACAGATCAGTTGCATTCTAGATACTAGCCATCCTTTGTTAACGCACAAACGCGCAGTAACAGGAAATACGTATTCACGGCTCTTATGCATTATTACGCAACAATCTGCAACCTATATGGACCATCGTGGGTAATCTCGAATTATTGCAATTGTGTAATGGTACAACGCACTACGAGCGTTTAATCCCCCGCTTGTCGACGTAAGTGCTAGTTACACACATATTTCCGCACACCATGATGATAAATCAATCGTTTCATCAGTCATAAGTTATTTATAAATTCTTATTAAATTTAATTTCTTTATGCTGTGATTATACTAATCTCTTATTTTTTGTTTCAATTTTATTCTCTAAATTTAATAAAATATTAATATTTAATATTTATGATATGATCTTATCTATAATATTTTAATCTAAAAAATAGTTACATGAATTATGTATAATATTTCTTTTAATATTCTAATAGAATTAATATATATATTTATAGGTATATAATTATTAGATGTAAATTTTTACTGGAATCGAAGAATTAATTTTATTATAAAATATAACAAATAATTAATAAGAAAAATCAAAAATATGCACTATATTAAAAATTGATTGCGAAATTTTATTTAAAAAGCTCTATCAATTTTTATTATGCTCTTTTAGAGATTAAAAAGTTTTGAGAATGAAATAATATGAAGGAACGAAGAATACAAAGAGACCGAATACGAAAATTGAGAATATAAGAGTATTGTAAAGAATAATCTATGATAAAAGCTTCCATCTCAACCTCAATTGAAAAGGCAGAATAACACAAGCTTTGATACAAATTCATGTAGTTCGCAGAAGAAATATTTAGTAAAGAAAAAAATATAATACGAATAAAAACGTTCAGAGAAGAAACAAAATCCACAAAAGAAATATCAAAAAAATTTTATTTAGAAATATCATAGCATATGTAAAAATTAATTAAAATTATATTTCATAAATAAAGTTTTCATAAATAAAAAAAAATTTAATTTTTTAACTTAATGTAATATAAATAATAATTTCTTTGATATAAAATTAAAATTTTTATTTAACGTACTATTTTAAAATCAATATTATCATATATTTTATTAATCAAAATAATTTATTTTGATGTTAACTTCCGATTACAGATAATAAAATTTATACTAATTACTGATAATGAAATTGAAATTGAAATTGAAATTTATTTAAATGATTTTAAAGTTAAAATAATTGCTTAAAATAAAAATGTGACAATAACGGTTTCTGTCTCTTATTATTATTAACTTCTTTAATATATGAGGTAATATATATTTGACAAATATGTTATTTGTAAAAGAATTATATATGTATCATGATAATTTTAATTAATTTTAAAACTAAAATTAACTAAAATCTCGGTAATAATTATTAATTTCGATAAAAATTTTCTATAAAATTATATAATAAATTAAAATGCAATAAATATCTAAATATCTAAAACTGATTCTATTTATAATTTATTTTATAACATTAATTCATTTTCTATTTATTAAAAATAAATTATATATATAAAATTATATATATAAAAAAAACAAATCTCTATATTTTAATTAATCTAATTAATTCATAACATAAATAAATTCCATGATATTCAATTATTAAATCAACAATATTGCTATAGAAAATTTAGAAATAATATTATTTCTTTTTATATGTATCAAATGCTAAAAAATATTGAATAAAAAAAAATAATTGTTTATATGATAACTATTTCTATACACGTATTCGCTTGACATTATAAAAGTGAAAAGTGAATGTAAAGATAAAGTCAGGGTCATAATGCCTAACTTCACTTTACTTCATATTTATAATGTATTAAGTTTTAAACCTGTTTGTGATATTTATCATCAAAAAACATTATATTAAAGAAATCTTTACATTTTTAAAAATGATAAAAAGTCATCAATCAACAACGTGCATTATAATTTTCACGCTCTGAACATTCAAATTAAAGTTCATATTACAATAGAAATAAAAAAATCTTAGATATATTATTCTTTTATACTACTTATTCTTTTATACTATCCACATCACGCTACCAATTATTCTCACATTTCAGTATGCCCGATTTCATAATCGTTCTTATCGCGTGTTCTCGTTATCGGGAAATCGCGAATTAACACGAACCACGACGAAGCCGGCCTCGGTAGTTACTCGACAGGAATCGTCAATTTCCGTCGAGTTCCGAGTCTCGCACGAGGCGTCGGTTTCTGAGTTTACGAAACGAATCTTCAAACACTCGTCGAACGTGGTGCAGACAACAACAAAGATAAAAATTGTGTTCAACGTCAAGTAACTGTCACTTGTTCATCGAAAAAAATCGAGTTCGCGCAATAAGTATTATTTTATTCTTACCTCATCGAGAGTAATTCCCTCGTGGTCAAGCTGCTTCGTAGTCAGCTTCTCATTCTTCCTCTCTTTTTCTCCTTGATAGCCAACATCGTAGCCATGTGTATACGAACGTGACCGTTCTGTACAACGATCACCGCCATGACACACAATTCCTCGTTCCCGCCGTGGAAGACTTCGAAACGAACATTTCACGATCTCACCGACATCGGCGCGACATCCAGCGGGATCTTTTTGGCAGCCGGCAACAGGTCGCGGTAGTCGCTATCCCGTAACACGCGTCGTTGTGTTATTGTTTATTGTTCGATCACAACACGGTTGCGGCGTCGGTAGTGTCGATCGTATCGTTGCTCTATTTTGGTCTTCTCAGGTAGGAGAGGAGGGACAGCGCAGTCTGGCTCGGACGAATGCTTGGAGACACTATTAACGACGCTTAAGAACGTCCACTCTGCAGACTGAAAGAGACAGAGAAGAAGAGACAGAGAGAAAGAGAAACGACGGTCAGACACAGAGAAAGAATGAGCGTAAAGGAAAGAAGAAATGAGACTGGAGCCAACGGTTACCATTATAAATAGTTGCGACCAATAGCGACAGAAGTAATACTCTCCCGTCCACCAGGTGGAACAGTTGTAGATTATTAAGATTGTGATTTTGTTAATGTATAATAATGATTTTAAAATTATAATAAATATAAAAATATATAAAATTGTGAGTATATAATAAACAATTTAAAGTATCAATCTTGTAATATAACAATGATTTGTTTGAAAATGTATAAAGTTATGTTATTCCCATCACTACCGGTTTAGCTAACCAGAAAAGGATGAATGAGAGTGAAAAAGAAAGATAGAAAATACAAACGGAAGTATGCATGTGAGAAGAACAGAAACAGAAAACAGCTTCTCGTTCGTTCTTATTTTTGCGTCATTGTTCCGTCACTAAAGTCTGCCTTGAATTTTAATGAACTATAGCCCTAACATGTAAATTTGCATGATTTCTTTTTGATTAATGAAATTTTTTAATTTTACAGCTTAATAATTGCATTGTTCTATTATATGTATATAATAGTGTTTGTTGAATAAATAAATACATGCATAATAATATCCATGCAACAAAATCAATAAATTTATTAATTATAAATAATATTAACAAAAACATATTTCAATGAATATATATTTATAAAAGTATTGTTTTTAAACTCTATAATTTATATTCATTTAATCATATCAAAAGGATTATTATAATTATTAATCTTGAAAAATTCATTTACAAATAAAAATATTTTTTACACAACTAAATAATAAAACAAAACAGGAAATTACCTTAAAATAAGTATCCGAAACAATCCATTTTTAGAATGTTTTTAAATCTTGTATCAATTATATATTATAAGAAATTATATACGTATAATTATATCGACACTGTTAAATATAAACAATTTTATATAAGCAATTATATAGTATTTTTATCGAATTAAGTTCTCACATATTAAAAAATTTGTTTTGAAAATCAAACTTTCTGAGGTACTAAAATTCTCACGACAACTATCATTACACGCAGATTCCGTATTGCTTATTTTAAGGAGGAGTGTTTGTTGGCAACACTTCAACGTTTCGTACCTGTTTATACATAAGTTTTGGCGCGAATCCGAAATGTCATGGCAATCGCCGGATATTTACGAAAGGATTATAAATCGATTAAAGTATTTTTATTTCGTTATTAATAAATTTGACTATATCGATATGTTTTTAATTAGTAAAACAATACGTTAGGAGCATTGTCATACAGAAATAACGTGATCGGCAGTGTATAGATATCATTTATGTTTACTAAGTGCATTGTACTCGTAATAGATAAATATTTAAAGAAGAAAAGGATAGATATAGACGTTGAAAAAATATCGAGATGAAAGAAAAGTGTTACTATAATAATTGTTATGAATAATTTTATCCATATCTTTTTATTACGAGATAGATAAGGTGATGTTAGTATAATACAAAGGCATTGCCGAAAGTTTTATAACTATTTTATAACTCTTACGATAAAGTAGGAACTTTAGAGAGGAAATTCTTTTCCTTCCATTAATCAGATTGTATATTCTCCTATTTTCTCGTGATTTCCGAATTTATTGCTAATAAAATTTATGCCAATAAAAGATCAGCTTTGTTAATTTCGAATTAAATAATAAAAACATTATTGAAGTTTAGATTCGGAATATTTTTTTCCATAGCCTTTTTAATTTACAATCTTGATTACAAGTATGCGTAACAAATCTCTTCGTGGGATAGGGGGAAGATTCCTTACGGAAGTCTTATACGATAAATCTTTTTTTTTTTTTATTTTAATAATGTGTGTGCGTGTATTTTTGTACAATATAATAATAATTGTAATAGCGCAATAGAAGTAGTAGAATAATAATAATAGAAGTAGAAGTGGTAGAACAGTTGAGAAATAATAATGGCATGTTTTATCTCGCCGGAATTCTCGCCATTATAGAATGGATTTCTTCGTGGAAAAATATAACGTTACAGACGTTCACCTTCTTGTCCCTTTTTTCCCTCTGTCTCATAAAAGCCATCTATAATAACAAGATTCTGGAAAAATGGTCCGCCATTGTTCGCCTCTACTGCCGCCACGACTATATATGAATTCGATGGTTCTTCATAGGATGTTTCGATATTTCTCAATGATCGATTCGATTTGTGGTTTTTAGGATTTTTTAGAAGAGACATTTATTCTTCCTCTTCTTCCTCCTCTTCCTCCTCCTCTTCTTCCTCCTCTTCTTCTTCCTCTTCCTCCTCCTCCTCCTCTTCACCTTCGCCCTCTCCCTCCTTCTTCTCGCCTTCCTCTTCCTCTTCCTCCTCCTCCTCCTCTTCCTCCTCTTCTTCTTCCTCGAATTGTGGCTCTTCCAGCTCTTCGTCTTCAGCCGCAGCCTTCACGTCTTCTTCGCCTTCGGGTGATTCGGGATCTCCTGGCTTCTTGCCTGGCCTCTCGCCGAACCACTTCGGCAATTTCGCTATTTAGGGGAAAAAACGAAATATATTTTAAATAATCGATAATGCTCAATTTGTATAATGAAAACATCTCGAACGATGATAGCGAAGATTCGTTGGAAATTAATATATTTATCAAGATATTACATGTAAGACATGTAAGATAAAGAACGAAAAGCAATAAAATAAAGATATTTTTACGAAAAAAAATAAATAAATAAACGGAAAATTAAATTAAATACAGACGTGTATTTTCTAAAAGTTTTTTTTCGCTTTTCATCGAACAAGATTCTTCGACTTTAACAAAACATACTTCATTTTGTGGCCATTGCAGATTGTCCTAGTTTTTACAAAGTGTTAATCAACTTTTAAGAGCCATTGTTCGAGCAAATGCACACAATGATACGTAAAATAATAAACGGATGAGAAATAAAATGATAAAATAATAAAATGCTTTTACATTTTTGGAGTTTCATCCCTTGCATTCAATACAAGTCATAATACTTTTTATATATTTTGAACATCATCATATCTACACACATTTTCAAAACCACATGCAATATCTTTTCTTTCAATTATTATAAATCAATAATTTTTCCTTCGTTGTATTTTATTCTTAAGATTTTTCTTTAAAAAAAGAATGTGAAATATTTATAAGAAACAACGTGTCACGTTTGCTCGAAAGTGAAGCTACCATACATACTCTTCTGGCGACCAAGGAATTGCTCCTTCTGTTGAGCCCATTGCTTCTCTATGAACTCCTTCTGCTGTTCGGTCAGACCCTGAAACATTAACGGACAAAATGGCATGCTAGGATACATCGTCACACGGGAGGCACTTGTTCTCCTTGGTTTTCAAAATATTGATGTATAAGTCTCTCCTTAGCTTGAATTCGGGGCTTGACAAGTTGCAGAACAAATTAACCTTTAGTAACGTTACCTAGGTTAAACAAGTTTGTTCCTAATGCTAAAAGATAATAACCAGCCATCGGCTTACACATTCCTTTACATTGCACACATCAGATTAGACATTTAACTGTGAAATGTCAAAATATGTTCTCTCTATGATAGAAAATATGTCGGTGTAAGAAGGTTTTTAATCATTATTGATGTATATATTCAATTTCTATGTATGTATTTCGTTGCAGAGATAAAAAATAAATAATAAAATAAAAAAATTAAATTAAATTCTCGTGTACTTTGTTCCCGAATAAAAAAATTTATAAGCAAAAATTCTTCTATAGTAAAATAAGGGCATAAAATTCGTAACAAATTCGTTTACATTTTGTGACATAAACTTCGTGACCACCGTGTTCATGCTTGATTCAACAATAAATTATGGGGGGATGCGATGAATTACGATCGATGTAGGGGGATATGGGAACATTTTACTTTATGAAATGAAACAACAACGAGCAATAACAACATTTCCAACGATCTCTGTGCTCTGTCTATCTACTATTAAATTCCAACATGAATTAGAAAAACGATCCTAGAGCACAGGGGGGGGGCTAAAGGGGTTCAACCAACAACGCAAGCAAAGGGGGATGATTTACACAGAGAGAGAGAGAGAGAGAGAGAGGTCGATAGGACTCACTTTTGGTACGCTTCATGAACTGTTCTGTTTTCTGTTTCCACAGTTTCTCGTTGATTTCCGCTAGGAGCGTGTCATAGCCCTGCGATTCAATCGACATTTTTCACTGATCACTTTTTTTTCTTTTTTTTTTTCGTTTATTATATTTCTACGACTATTTCTCTCAAACGGACCGTGTCGCTTTTTCTTTGTCCTCTTTAATATCCCTCTTTCCGATTAATCATCTTGTTATCAACAAAAATTGTTCGTCGTTTTAATTTTACATTTTTTGAATAATACTAATAGTAGTCTCCACTTTTTTTTCAATCATACCCTGAGATTTCCAATCAGAATCATTTCACGGATATATTTAATCGGGGCAATTTATATATTCGAAGAATCAGCGACGATCGAATCTATGGAAAATATACTTACACCCTCGAAGAGCTTCTTCTTATCGTCATAAGACCTGGTATCCACTCGACGTTCGTATTTGGAGGCGACTTGGATCTTGGGCTGCATAAAGAGAATAATTTGTATCGCTTAACTTTAGATAGATTCCCCACTTCAACGTCTTTTTTATTTATCCATCCTTACTTACAGGATACTTGCCGGTGAGAGCTTCGGGATCAAGACCTTTCTTCAAAGCCTTGTGCCTCAATTGTTGCTTCTGACGTTCCTTTAATTCTTTAAGCTACGTTTGAGAGAACGTCCAATTACATCCCAATTCTTACAATATTCTTACTCTAAATACGAATCTTCTACGAGTGTCTCTATGCCTTTTTTTTCTTTTACTTCTTTTTTTCTTACTCACGTCATAGTCCTGGCGCTTTTGCCGCTCTTCAAGATCGTACTTCTCGGTCTCCAGCTTGACTATGGTGTCCCAGAGCTCGTTAGCCTTGGACCGGAGCTTCTCGATTGAGAAACCATCGATTTCCAACGGTTTGATGCGAATACTCAGCGAGATTTTCTTCTCCTCCTCGAGCTGCTCTTTCGTCTTGTTGCGCTCCAGTTGCGCCGACGTAAGGTTACCCTATATCCAACGGGATAAACGCATTAATAACGGTTGGCCTGTGCACAGGATCCGTGTTTAATCCGTGTTATGGATACGAACCGCTAAATCTTTCCTAGTGATGGTAAAGTTAGGACCCTTCTTGCTCGCTTGTTCTTTCATCGCCTGCATCATTGCCTGGCGTTTCTTTTCTGATTCTTCGAGACGCCTGGATAAAAAGATCGGTTTTTTTTTTTATATTTCAAATGTTGCTTATCTTATTTATATATCCGAGATAGATAAGGTTGGCTATGGCAAACGTACTTTCTCTTTTCCTCCATATCACGTTGCTTCTTCTCCTCTGTAAGAAAGGAAAGAGAAACATCAAGGAGGTGACCTCTCTCGAAAATCGATAAAAAAAAGAAGCAAGCAGATGGGGATGAAACGAACTTACCGATTTCACGCTGGCGACGCTCTTCCTCCTCCTTCTTTTTCTGAGCCAATCTTTTCTCCTCGTCCGCGCGAGTGATCTTGCGCTTCGCTTGCTTCTCCTGCGAACGTACGTGAGAAGGAGAGATCGGGGGAATATTGGAATATCGAAATCGGATGGATCCGTGCCGATACGAATAGAATATTAAAAAATATTAAAAAAAGAAAAAAAAAACGGAAAATGACGCAACGAGAGAAAGGATTCGTGAAAGGTTTACACGAACACGAACCTTCAATCTCTTCAATTCCTCCTCCTCCTTTGCCCTCTGCTTCCGCCATTCTGCAATGTATTCCTTGAGCTGTTCGTCTAGGTCGCTCCTCTTCTGTTCCTGCCTCTGTGCGAACGGGAGAAGAAATGTAAATACGCGCCGTATACTGTATCTAAGAGATTCCACATTCGTCTTCTCACCTTCATAAACTCGATATTCTCCCCAGACTCCCTGATGTAGGCCGGAACGAAAACAAAAGTAACTCTCTTTAGTCGCTCGCCCTCTGAGAGATCTCGTAAGATCTTCCAGAACTCCTTACGCCACTCTCACGTTCCATTATTATTTATTTATTACATTTCATCCTCATCATTCTCTCTCGTGGCGAATAATTCTTGTCTTTCTTTTTGTTTTTCTTTTTTTTCTTTACTTTTATTCATTTTTCTCTTTTTTTTTTCTTTCGTTTTTCTTTTTTTGCTTTTTTTCCTTTTTCTTTCCCTCCTCCCCCCCCTTTTTTTTTTTTAGTTATTCCCTCATCGCACGCATAACGTAACAACCAGACAAACAGACACAGATACACACGCACGCTTGCACACGCGCACGCGCAAACGGACAGAACGCACGGACGGACGCACGGACGGACAGACAAGAGAAATTTGAAAAGTTTGTATTAAGCGTGTGAAGGGAGAAGAGAAGAGAAGGAAGGAAGTGTATCTCGAGGAATTCAGAGAGAAAGAGGGCGTTAATGAGTTTACAAAGGTTGAGGAAAACTGAAGGGTTTTGTGGGGGAGAGAATCCATTAGACTCTCGTGGACAAGGATATTGGAAAATTGATGGAAGGTTATTACCGAGAACTATGCTTGAATCTGAAAATTCTGCCTCGACTTTGAAACGATGTGTTCGCAAAAAGTCGGATAATATTCTCTAAAAATCGTTCTCTTCAATAAAATTAGGATAAAATTATAAAATATATATATATAAGTGATATATATATTTGATTAAATTAATAGGAAAGAGATAAGAATTTACTTATCAAAAAATAGAAATAAGAAATACAAAGGATTTTATCAAATATTTGGAGACATTTCAAAATTCAAAGTATTCTCGAATATGAAGACACGATACCATCCATCAAATTACATCACGTGGATCGAATCCAGGATAACTTTAAAATAAGAGATCTCTAATTTTAAAGATGATTCCGCCGTGACGGAAAATAAACGGCTAGACTTTTGAATCTCGGCAATGGGAGAGGGACGGGATATATTAGGGATATTATAGTT